CAGTTAATGAAATAAAACAAGAAAAGGAAATAAAACTTTACTAAATGGGAAGGAGAAAATAAAACTCTTTGTTAACATATGATATGATTGTCTGTATGAAAAAATCCCAAAGAATCAAGAAAAGCTTCCTGGAACTAATCAACAATTATAGCAAGGTCTCAGGATACAAGATTAATACAAAAGTAAATTGCTGTTTTATATTCCAGCAAAATTAGAGTGAATACAATTAAAAATGCAACACCATTTATATTAGCAACAACAAAGAAAACATTTAGATATAAATCTAATAAAATACTTGTAAGATTTACATGAGGGGAACTACAAAACTTAAATGAAAAAATAAAAGAAACAAATACTTGAGAGTTACTTCATGGTAACGGGTAGGCAGACTCAAAATTGCTAAGATGTCAGTTCTTCCCAAACTGATCTATACATTCAATGCAATCATATAAAAATCACACTAGATATTGACAAACTGATCAACAAGCTGATTTTACAGTGTATATGGAAAAGGAAAAAACCCAAAGTGGCTAAGACAATAGAATTAAAAAGTTGGAGAACTGACACTACTATCTCAACTATAACTATAATGCTATAATAAACAACACAGCATGGTGTTGCTGAAATAATAGACAAATAGATGAATGGAAGAGAATAGAGAGCCCAGCAATAAACCCATGAAAATACAGTCAACTGATGTTTGACAAAAAGGCAAAACCAGTTCAATGGAGAAAATATAGCCTTCTCAACAAGTTGTGTGGGAAAAGTCAGCCATCCACAAGCAGAAGGAGACGGAGGAGAGGAGGGGTGGAGGAGAACCGGAAGAAAAAGAATGATGAAGAAGAGAAGGAGGAGAAGGGGAAGGGGAAGCCGAAAGGGAAGGAGAAGGGGAAGGGGAAAGAAAAGAGGCCAGAGAAGAGGAAGAAGGAGAAAAAGAAGCAGAACCAGGAACAGCTAGACACAGACTCTACAACCTTCTCAAAAAATCATCTCAAAGTGGATCAGAGACCTAAGTGTAAAATTATAAAGCTCCTAGAAGATAACATAAGAAAATCTAGGTGGCTTTGGGTTTTGGCAACGACTTTTTAGGTACAACATTAAAGGCAATAATCATGAATGAAAAATTCATAAGTTGGACTTCATCAAAATTAAATCTTCTGAACAGATACTTTGCCAAAGAAGATATACAGATAACAAAAAAACATATGAAAAGATGTTCAATGTCATACATCATTAGGAAATTACAAATAAAAAATAATGAGATGTCACTGCACACCTGTTGGACTTGCAGAAATACAAAACACTAAACACATCAAATGTTGAGGAGTATGTGAAGCAACCGGAACTTTTATTCATTGTCAGAGGGAATACAGAATAGTGTAGCCACTTTGGAAATCAGTATAGTGGTTTCTTATAAAACTAAATATACTCTTGCTATATGATCCAGCAATCATACTTCTTAGTGTATGCCCAAATGATTTAAAAACTTGTGTCCATGCAGAATCTGCAAACAAATATTTATACCGCCTTTATTCATAGTTGCTAACATTTGGAACCAATAGATCTATTGTTCTATAGGTATGCAGACATTTAACCCATGATATATCTATACAATATTTTTTACAGTGCTAAAAATGCATGAGCTATCAAGTCACAGACACAGAAAAACCTTAAATTCTAAGGTAAAAAAGTCAATCTTAAGTCTTCTCATTGTATAGGCCCAACTACATGATATTCTAGAAAAGGTAAAACTATAGTAGAAAGTTCAGTAGCTGTCAGGGGTTTCAGTAGAGGGAGGGATGAGTCAATGGAGCACAGGGAATTTTTAGGGCAGTGAAATTGTTCTATATGATACTATAATGGTAGATATATGTCATTATAATTTGTCAAAATCAATAGAATGAACAAAATGAATAGCGAGCCGTAATGTAGACTGTAGATTTTGGTTAATAATGATCTATCAGTATTGGCTTATTGATTTGTAACAAATGTATCATGCTAATGAGAGATGTTGATGATAAGGGAGGCTGTGTTTGTTAAGGGTGGGGGTATTTAGGAGCCCTGTGTACTTTCCATCCAATTTTGCTGCAAACCTTAATCTGCTGTAAAAATCATTAAAGTTCATTAATTTTTCAAAAGTATATAAATTCAATAAATTAGTCCACAAAGTGAATTTCAAAGTATATTTTGAGATTCTATATCATGAATAATGGGAGTATTCATAAAAAACTCTACTTACTTTTTATTATATTAATAATTTTTAAGTTTACAATTTTCTTACATTCAATTATATTTTTTTTAATTTCTGTGCATCATTTCATAAAATAAATTTCATGTTTGAGTGCTTAAACTATTATGTGACTAATTTACAAGAACTCACATAAGTGTGTTTGTAGAAGAAAAGTTCTAATTATGAAAAGAAGTTCAAAAGACAATACGGACTATAGATAATAAGTATTATTGTAATTAAAATAGGATATACCATATTTAAAATGAATAGATGATTAGAGCTCATTGTAAACATTGAAATAGGTATATAAGTATATGTGTTTCAGATTGGAAATTCACCATCTAAAATTTCTTAAATAATGAAAAGTAAAGTGTTAGGTTTAAACTTCCCAGAAAAAAATGGTAGGTGATATTAAGTTGAAATATACACTTTCTTGCCCATGAAAACTGCCAAATATCAACAATTTCATTTTACTTTGATACTTTAGCCAGATTGGGATTGAAAAGTTGGGTAATAACTAACCACGGAAGGTGATTATAATGATTATTACGTTTTAATGTAAATGTTAAAGAGTAATTTTCCTAATAATGTGTGGTTAGCACAAAATTTGGCAAATTTATTAATTTATCCAATAAATAGTTATTGAATTGTTAGTATGTGCCAGATGACACGGTCCTGCTTCAGAAGTATTTGGAAAGCTATGGCAAATGGGTAGTTACAGATAACATTGATATGAGGTAGTGATGCATACATGCTCACTGGTCATTCTGAGGGGGAATCTGAGATGCTATCTACTACTTTATAACCCATTATTCTCTCAGTGCATAGTATCTAGCACTAACTTTGTAGTTTGATAGTCTGGGTTCAAGTTCCCCACTACTGCTTAATAGCTGTGACCTTGGGCACGTTTTTACCCCTCTTAGATTTGGCTGTCAAACTATGAAATGTAGATAATACCTAACTCACTGAAAGAAAGAGAAATTGAAGAGATTTGTTTTAGTCCACTCGAGGTTCTTATAACAAAAGTAGCACAGACTGGGTGACTTACACAGAAATGTATTTATCACAGTTCTGGAGGCTGGGAAGTCCAAGATCAAAGTGTCAGTCAATTTGGTTCCTGATGAGAGATCCCTTCCTGGTTTGCAGACAGATGCCCTCATACCTGATTTGGTAGAGAGAGAGAGACAGAGGCAAACACAGAGACAGAGACAGAGACAGAGACAGAGACAGAGACACAGATCAGTTCTCTTTTGTCTCTTTTACAAGAGCACTATCCCATTCATAAGGGTTCTGACCTCATGACCTAATTCCTTTCCAAAGCCCCACCAGCAAATACCATCATATTGGGTTTTAGGCTTCAACATATGAATTTTGAAAGGACATAAACATTCAATTCATAGCAAAATCATATGTAAAATGCTTAATGATATAAAATAACATTTTATCTTTGTATGTGAATGCAAGGATGACCAAGACATAGCTTTACCTGCCCCCAAGCAAATTACGTAATAATATTTTTTATACAAATGTGAGAACTTTGACAGCTTGGCATAAACATGATTAGATGAGAAAAATTTCATGGCTAATAAAGTTCTTTGCAAAACAAAATCTTTTGTAGCAGATTTAGGGCTCAGTAGCTAATTCTCTGCCTAGGAGGTCCTAGTTTACCTTGGCTCCCAAATATTTAAAGAAGTGATTAATTTCTTTTTTTAAATCATTGCATGTGCTGATCTTTCTGCAAAAAGCTGGGCAGAGATAAACTTAAATGACTAATATGCACCCCATTGTAGTACTCCCCAGAATTCTGATCAGTATTCAGATTATTGGCATATAATGAAGACAGAATATCAAGGTATATGCAGAGTCTACTCTTTGCAGCTGGGCTACACAGCCTAAAATCATCATAATTATAAAGTAAAACCAGAATTTATTTTTTTTAATGTTTTATTTATTTCTAGGAGAGAGAGAGAGACAGCGTGAGCAGGGGAGGGTCAGAGAGAGAGGGAGACACAGACTCAAACAGACTCCAGGCTCTGAGCTGGCAGTCAGCACAGAGCCCGACGCGGGGCTCGAACCCACGAACAGTGAGATCATGACCTAAGCAAAAGTCGGACACTTAACCGACTAAGCCACCCAGGTGCCCCTCATCTATATCTCTTTAAATCTTCTCTATCTGCAAGGTCTGCCTCAGTATCACCTGCCAAAGGTTTTCCTGATCCTATCATTTAGCTATTAAGAACCAATACCTTTGTGGTTGAGTTCAGAAGAATATCAGTTCAAATCTCAGGTCTCTTGTCATGAGCCATGTGACCTTGGAAAAGTTATTTAATCCTTCAATGTGAAAAACAGAAATAGTAACAGGATCTACCTACCATACAGAGTTGTTATGAACATTGAATGACCAAACAATAGAGAACATTCCCTATTATATATAGTAAATAGACAATGTTAGCTACCATTATTACATAGTCTTTCTCCAAAGCCTATAGGATTTTATTTGTACCTTTTTATGTGTCTATCATAATCTTCCAACTGTGATAATAACTTGTGGGTTTATTTTGTATCTTTTGCATATTTTACATATGTTTTGCAGGCAACTTATCCTAGTTGACATGTCTGTCTTGAATATCAACTCAGAGCCTCTCTGAGTCTTTAAACCCCAGTGAAAAAACAAAGCAACAAAACAAAACATGAAAAAATTCGCAAGTTTTTTTCTCTTTCTCTGTCTCTGATTCTTTGTAACCTTTTCTCCCTATGATTCCTCTTTCAGAAATTAGAAAAGAAAAATCCGGGAAGACTTCCTCAGTTTTGAAGGATAAAGGTAATAGAGTCAATTTGACATAACACTAGAAACTTATTAGCAAAACTCTGAAAGAGTCCATAGTACATTAGAGTCATCTCCTTTGCATATGTGTGAGCCCAAACTGCACAGATAATATCATAAATTTGAAAACTTGTATTTATTTATTTGTCCCTCAAAAATTTTCTTCTAGTTCATTATGACATAAAAAGTGCTCTGAATACAATTTCCAAAAGGAAGAAAAAAAGAAAAAGGACTTTTATTAAAGAATGAAAAGAGGAAAAAAAAAGAAGGAAAGTGAAAGTTATGGAAAGAACTTGCCTCCATGTGCTTTAATTCTCTTTTTTCTATTCACTCATAAAATACATATTTAGTGCAGAATCCATCCAAACACTTGTCAATCACTGGAGAAACGAAGGTAGCAAAGCCAGTAATAGGGAGGAAGACTCTGGAATTAGAGTTCTGAATTATTCTTTTCAAAGACACTTAGTCAAGTTCTGTCTACTTGAGTCTTGTTCTGGTTCTTTGTTGCTATGAAAAAGCATGACATTCTTATTTCAATTTTGTGATTTCAATCTCTGGAATGGATTGATTTTCCTTTCTGTCCACCTAAATCCCAGGTCTCTTTCCAAGCATAAAGCATCAAGCCTTCTCTATTTCAGCTTTCCCTGAACTCTCTCATCTAAATTCATACACTTATATATTTATAAGCTAATACATATGTGTACATATACATGTATATGTGTGTTTTATCAATTATTTGAAATGCCATCTATTTAATAATTACTTTTTTGTGAATTTAATATACAATAATCAGAACATGTACTCACCAGACATCAGGAATACAAGAAAGTCATGGTTTTTGCTCTCATGGAATTCACAGTATTACTTACATAATTAATTAAAGAAATAAGAATTATAGGGGAGATATACAGGGTGCTCTAGTCAAGTGTGGGGAATCTGAAGAGGCTTTCCTGAAGAAGTTTTATTAAACTCAAGTAAGAACAATGAAGAATTAGCTAGAAAAATGTGTAAGAATTGTTTGAGCAAAGCAGGGCATCTGCTGTTTGGTATCTACTTTACACATTTCGCTTTAGCAAGTTGTGCTTGAGATGTCAATCATTTTATAAACAGGGAAGCTGAAGCATAGATAATATAAGATACTCAGTATCACATTGTGGGTAAGAGGGGAAGACAAGAATCCAAGTAAGTCTTTCAGATACTAAGGTCCATCTCTTCATTTTAATACAGATACCGCTTATTCCTTAAAATAAGGTTCTTATATTTCTATTCTTCAAAGCAATTTTGCTTTGAGTGTAGAGTTCATTACCTAAGTTTGAAAAATCTATTTGACACAGATGCATTGGCTCTGTAGTATGGAAATATATGAAAATATAGCCCTGGTCCTTTTGCTATTGAGGGGGCTCCCCTTAATTCCCACAGAAGAGTTTAGTCTATTTTTTCTCCAGTGATTATCTGTACTCCTCAGTCTCCTTTCTCATTTTATCTAACAGTTAATGAGATTATTTTTCTTGATTGTATGAGAACTGAAGTGTCATTGAAAGATACTACCAGGAAAATCCAAACATATATGGAGATATATAGAGATATCTATAACTAGATAGATAGATAGCGATATAGATATATAGAGATATGTATATCACACATATTTGTATATGATTTGCAAACCGTAATTAATACAAAGTAAACCTTCCCTCCTTCCAATGAAGTATGAGATGCATTTATTTTGGTTCACAATTATGCCACAGGAATATTTAGACCATAATTATTTATTCACAATAAAAGCAGTTCAAAAGAAAGATTGGAGCTTACTTCTAAAACAACCTTTGAGGCATTGATAATTATCAAAGATTTAAACTGTTACTTAAAATACTTCACTTGTGCCAAAGCTTAAGCTAGTTGGAAATGGTAGTTGTAAAAATTTGTCCTGGAAAATATTATCTGGGGAATTTAAATCCACACTGACCACTTCACTAAGCAGACTCCTGTAATTTCAATTTTCGTTGTTATTGTTATTAATGTACAATTTACAAGCAATTTCCTAGCGAACACTTTGTTTTCAACGTTAAATCGTGTACTTTGCAAGATGTCTCCACACTCACTAGAAAATTATGTATATAAAGGTTCAATGCATATGATTATTGATTTAGAACTATTTCAAATGCACCTGTTGTATTATTCAATTGTGTTCATGCCGTCAAATGTCTTTGTTATGTATAAGTTAGATATTATTTTAGAAGAATTTTATTGCCACTTTCCCTGTATTTTCTGAATATAATTTATCATTACAAAAAAATTCAAAGAAAAAAGTTATATATTATATATAGGTAAAATTTCAGGGACGTTTAACACCTCTGCAGTATTACTGTATTTGAAGAGGCTCTTTGAAGCCTGCTGCTGAGCTGTGGCAGAATCAGAATGCAGCAATTCCACTTGCTAAAAATCCAGTTATTGCATTGGAGTCACAGTATTTTGTGAATTATTTCTGTTAAGCTGCTGTAAGTTTGCCTACATTTGCCAGGTCTTATCGGATTCCACTTGCATGTACACATTAGAATCCATACTGAAACAATGTTACAACTCATAAACCCAGGCTTATTACACAAAAAATCCTTTGGGGCCCCATTTATTGGGAATATGATGACCATGAGCTAATCAGGCATTTTTAGGGAAACATAATTAGACTGTGCCTTTATTTAAGAAGATAGAGGTGTAGTGTTGGTTGTTCCAAAGAAAAAGAGCAGGGGAAAGACACATCTTGCTGGCTTTTGCTGCTGGGTCAGCTTCTGACTTTCCTTGGCTGGTGGACTCACCTAAGACCTCTCAGCACACCTATGAGAGCAGAGGCCTGCTTGTGTGACCTTGAGCATCCAGAAACCAGACAATATTGTTAGCCACGCCTGGTATTGGTTATATTCCCTATCTTATTGACACTTCTAACAGCTGGTCTGATTTATATGAGAATGGAAGATTCACCCATGGACTGAGGAAATGCAAACTGAACCCAAACAGGGCAACAAAGAGATTAATTAATTATCCTCTACTACAAATTCAATAGTAGCACTCTTAAGTTACTCTGGCACTGGAGTAATATGACAGATGTTAGAGGTATTTTATAGTTTTGTGACCCAGACATGTGTGTGTTTGGATCTTATGCCAGAGAATTCTTAGCAGAGCTTGTCTTTCCTTATATTCTGATGCTCAGGACCATGCACCTGATGATCCCCCAATATCTATTTGTCATCAGCATGCTTTCTCCTGGCCATTCCCACCTGTGCAAACAAAAGGTAGAACTAAGGATGTGGTAAGTTTTCTGAGGACTTTGAAACTGACCCCAATGATTTATACTTCACTGTGGACACTCACCCTAGTTATTACCGCCTTTGTCTGGGGCAGTGTAGAGGGATTAAAAACCTGAAACCATTTTCCTATTCTTTTGTGAATTTTTTTCCCACAACCTCCTTGCTCAGATGAATTTGAGAGTTCTCCATTATATCAAAGCACCTTTAAATATGTTCCAGATATTTTTAAAAAATATTTTTACTGTTTATTTTTGAGAGAGAGACAGAGGGTGATCAGGGGAGGGACAGAGAGAGGGAGACACAGAATCTGAATCGGTTCCAGGCTCTGAGCTGTCACCACAGAGCCCAAAGCGGGGCTCGAACTCATGAACTACAAGATCATGACCTGAGTTGAAGTTGGATACTTAACCAACTGAGTCAACTAAGTACCCCTAGATCTTGATAATCAAGATTTATAAGGCTTTCTGTAGGATTTTGGACAAACATAAATAAACTACTATATTTGTTAAATCACACCAAAAAGTGTTCTCCAATGCTTTGCTCCTGACAAACAATACACATGAGTTAAAAAAAAATACCTTAATAGCTGACCCAAGCCAACAATATCCCTATCCTACCTAATATAGAAGTACAGAATTTCCATATAACATTCTCCACAGTTTTGATCAGATTTGATATCCCACTCATTTCCTACTCCAGGCTGTACTTCCTTTAATCAGATGAAAACCCCATGAAGTAAAAAAGGACACTGAGAGGAAATGAGCTTCAAGAAAGTCACTGCAAGCAATGATCCAGCCTGGGAGCAGAAGGCATCTTCCCATTATTGAACTGGGAAATGAAAATCACTTTTGGGGTTCCTGGGTGGCTCAGTTGGTTGTGTGGGACTCTTGATTTTGGCTCATGTCATGATCTTGTGGTACTGAGATCGAGCCCCAGGTTGGGCTCGGTGCTCTCAGTGCAGGATGCTTGAGATTCTCCCTCTCTCCTTCTATCTGTGTCTCCCCCCATCCCCTGCTCACACACATGCACGTTCTCTGTCTCAAAAATGAACAATTAAAAAAAATACATTATAAGGGCACCTGTGTGGGTCAGTCAGTTAAGCCCCTACTTCGGCTCAGGTCTTCATCTCATGGTTCATGAGTTCAAGCCCTGGGTTGTGCTCTGTGTTGACAGCTCAGAGCCTGGAGTCCGTTTCAGATTCTGTGTTTCCCTTTCTCTGCCCCTCCCCCAATCACGTTCTGTCTCTCTGTCTCTGTCTCTGTCTCTGTCTCTCTCTCTGTCTTTCGCTGTCTCTCTCTCTCTCAAAAATAAAATAAACTTTAAAACATTTTTTAAAAATCCATTTTAGTGGCCTGGGTGGCTCAGTTGGTTGAGTGTCCGACTTCGACAAACTTTCTCCACATTTAAAGGGATGAGTTTATAACTTTCAAATACATTATAAATTTGCATTCCACCTCTTCCTTCTTTCTCCGTCAACGTCAAAGCTGTCTTGTGGGTCCTCTCCCTCAGTCTTGTATTTTATAACTACTTTAATCTCATGCAAACATATACACTTTCCCACTTAAATCAATATGCTGCATCTTGAACTTGAAATTCCAGGTGCTGCACTCTCCCACCCCACTAGGAATCTGTCCCCACCATCACTTCTCATTTCACAATACATTAATTTTTTTTGGATTAGCCAGGAAATGCAAAAGCAGTAAATTACCCCCATTAGCTTGAAAAAAGTTAATGAAGCTTCTCAGTCTATTCAATCCATGGCTCTTGATTTCATCTTCAGATGCTGAAATACAGAAAAAAAAAAAAAATAGGCCCTTCTTATACTCAGCACATTAAATGGCAACACGGACTTTTCCTTGCCATCAAAACCATTTAAAAATATTCTGCAAACATATGGATATTTAAGGCTATAGTTTATCTACCAAGAAAATCTTGCTTTGAGGGACACAGCCTTTTCAATATTACTCCCATGTCCATTCTTAAAACTGCCCAAAGTCACCTGGACTCAATTCTAAGTGATTGCTTGAATGAGATATTTATTTACGAGTCCTACTGTCATATTCTGCATTCCCCCAAAACCATAGGTAGGAATAGAACAAAGGGATGGAAGGATAGATTTTTCCCCCTTCCCTTCTCTTCTCCCTGCATCAAAAGCCATTTTTGTCTATAAAATGTTTACTGAGATATGTTGCAGAGAAGACAGAAGAGTAAAAGTTTTCCTTTTACATAGGCTGTTGAGGAAGTATGATCCTATTCAAGACATCACCACATATATGTCTGAAACACATGATATGATTAGAGTCACTTTGTATTTGACCCTGGTAGAATAAATGAAGTTTTTGTTTTGTTTTTTTTTAAACTAAGGGTAACGTTGTTAAGATGTTGGGTGTTTATAAATAAAATTGTCTCTTGTATTTTATTTCAGTTTTATTCTTGAAATGTGTTAGCCTGATGACTAAAGCACCACATTTACATGACAGATGCAGGGTTTTCCATTTGTTTATTTTTTAAAAAATCGTGTATCCTGAAAGAAGTAAACTAAGTTAATGCTGATTATAACAGTTTGGGGAGACTTCAAGAAGCCATATGTTTTACAAAAATTACAGCTAAAATAAGTTTATATCCATCCAAAAGCCCATTCTATTATATGAACAAATAGATTGTAACTCATTAAACAATTTACATTTATTTTAAATGAAAATGATCAGAAAGGATGGCTTGTTGTACTCTTTACTGTTGTTTCCTTGTCTCTGTATGATTAAAAGCATTTTTACAAGAAAACATTTATATAATTTCCACCCAAGTTCACCTTACTGATAGCTCACTGACTCCATTATATATGTGTTCTCAAATCCTTTTATCTTGTCTTCAAATAAATGCTCTTTTTTTTCCTAGAGCCTATTAAGGGGAAAGAAGTAAAGCTTCCAGTTTCCCTAAAGCAAAAAGGTAATATTGTATAATGAAATGTGAAACACATTGATCTGCCTATTGCATATTCAGTTATTTGCAACAAAGCAATATATCATTTATTTTTCTGGCTTTTAAAACTATAACTTTTATATGCCCTCGTATACATGTGAGCAAAGGAAAAAGGATTATTTTCTCAAAATTCTAATATTTACTATGAAATAACATAGACAAGAGTAGCTATGTCAGGAATACTGTGAAAGCTTTTTAAAATGTATATGTTATTCTGATTCCACGAGTCTGTAGTGGAAAATCTGCATTTAATAAATATCCCAAGGTGAATCTTAAAAAGAATACCTATGAAAACAAAACACTTAAGATAAAAACACTTAAATATCTCAGTGATAGCTTGCCATTCTGTTAAGTTTGGATACAATAAAACTCTAAACAAAGTTAATAGCCAGGAGAAACTTAAAGATAAACTATAGTCCTAAACCTTTATCTTATATAAATAAAAATGGAGTAGTCAAGAAACTTCAAAATTATTGTGATTTGCAATACAGTCAGCATTAGAAATCTGATCTAAATCAAACACTTCCAGACTTCCCATTATACTAAGATCAAAGTAATGTAGATTCTGATATGCACCAAGATATATTCCCTAAAGCATAAGTAAATATAGTTAGTCTAATGTAATATATTTAGTTTCTGATTAATCCCAGTACCTTGTATTGGTACGGTATCATCCTGGGAATTTCCTATTGTCAAGATGAACATAAGTATAGTAGTGAAACCATGAAATTATACCAATTATACTGAATGTTAGAAATAGGCTAGAAATATATCTGAGGAGAAGATCTACATGAACTATTGACCAATTAATGTGCAGGGACTTAGTGGTAAAAATTCCAGTTTACTGGCAATATTTTATTTAAAAGAAAAAAAACCTTTTGGTGAACTTGTAACACATATGTTGGGGTTGGGAGGGTAGTGGGTGAGCTGGAGGAGGGGAAGGCAAACAGAGGACTTAGAGAAATGAAAGGCACATGGAGAGTCTTCATTAGTCAGTGTAGCAATGTATTAAAAACACCCTTAAGTCATATTTTTCTAACTTTGCAATTAATTTTAAATTAAACAAAATTGCTACTTAATGAAACATAAGAGCACGACCTTTTTTTTCTCAACCCATAGGCATACTTGATTTTTTTAAAAGTATTTTAAAGCAACATGGATTTCAAACCTGTTAAGGCTTTTATGTTTAGAAATGTATTATCATATTTAAAACTTTATCATCACTTATGCTAGTAGTTATTTCAGTGCTATATACAGTTTTATGCTATCTTGGTACAATATGTAAATCAGAATATTTTGCCTTGCAAGAGAATTCTTACATGTAATGTTAAGTGCCCAATAGATAGCAAAATGTTGCTACATTGTATTATGAACTGATTGTGAAAAACAGTGACATTCCTGTAAATTTACCTAAGCACTAATTTATTTTAAAGAAACTCTAGATTTCTTTAGCATGATCTCATTAGTGATTGGAGTGGACACTTACACAACAATGTAAGGTGAAATGATTTGATGCCATTAAGTAACTTAAATATTCAATGATGCTATTATTCTTTTGCCAATCTAAAACAGAAATATTTTTAAAAATGAGAAATAGACAAGCATATTACAAATTTCCACATTTTTATTAAGGAAGTTCAGTTCAAAAATTTTCCCCTGGAAGAAATGCATGTGGAATATATACATATGAACAAAAAATAATTCAATTTCCACCAAAATCACTTGATTTGCATTTCAGTCTTTGATCACTGGACATATCTACCTAAGAGTTTCCCTTTTCTTTTACCGTCATTCCAGGAATCCTTTTTTATCATCCCATGCCACATGGTCAGTCTAACGCAAGCTAGTTCATGGTCATAGGTAATGGTGGTGGAAAAGAAAGCATTTTGGAAAAGATAGATTTTATTATCATCATACCCTTATTTCATCAGTTTTTATATTATCATACCATTTTCTCCCTAATGTTTAATGACAAGTATGTATAGACAAGGGAGGGGTTGCATAAAAAGTCAATTAAATGCAATCACCACAACTATTATTTTATTTTATTTTACCAAAGTATAATTGACACACAATATCTAATTAGTTTCAGGTGTACATCATAGTGATTCAATACTTCTATACATTATGAAATGGTCCCTGAGAAGTCTAGTTACTTTTTGTCACCATACAAAGTTATTACAAAATTACCAACTCTTCCTCCTGTGCTATTCACTACATTCCCATGATTTATTTATTTTGTAACTAGAAGTTTGTACCTCTTAATCCTTTTCATCCATCTTGCCCTGCTCCCAACCTTTCCCCCACCTCTGGTAATCAGGAAATTTGTTTCCTGTATCTTTGAGACTATTTCTGTCTTGTTTGTTTTGTTTTCTTTTTATAGAGTCCACTTATAAGTGAAGTTACATGTTATTTTTCTTTCGCTGTCTGACTTATTTCACTTAGCATAATAACTTCTTGAGTCATGTATGTTGTTGCAAATGGCAAGATTTCAGTCTTTTATATGGCTCAGTATTCCATTGTCTGTATATGGTTAGAGTAGGATTTAAGACAAAAAGAGAACAAATACAGAGGACATAACCTTCACACTGGGAAAATGTATTATGATGCATATAATGAACAAAAGATGAATAACCACATTATGTTTTTAAAATGTACATTTTAGTAAAAATAGAACAAATACACCTGAAATGTCATATTTGTCTACTTTTATTCATTTTAAAAATTGCTATTGAACTAACAACTAAAAAATAAATTTATAGTTACTGAAATGTGTGGGTAATGTTTATAATTTTTAATCAGGACTTACTAATTTATTTCCATGATATAGTAAAAGTCAATAAATTACTCTCTAATTTTTTACTAAATATAGTAAATATTTAGTTATATTTATATAAGCCCCATTTCAGTATTAGGATGATGTACATAAAATAACTTTAAGTAATCAAAGGAAGGTTATTATAGTCAGACTTCAACGTCATGGACTTGATATTATTTTACAAGGTACTAATACAATTCTAAATTACTTCAATATATTGTAAACCAAGTTCAATAGAAATGGATGTAAAGAATTCAATTTGGGACAAAATCAACTTGTGTAGATTTAAGACAAAAACTGTACAAAATCAGTATACAGAAATTTTGCCTTAAAGAAACCCTCAAGTGAGTATGATTAAAGAATCCAGCTTCTAAAATATGAATTATACTGTTAATAGTGACTTCAATAACTCATATCACCATTGCACTTTACTCTTTATTTCAAATGATTTTGAATCATGGTCTTGTATTATATGTAGTTGATAAGATATTATTCCTATTTTTGAAGCATAACTTAACAAGGTAAAGGTGACTTATGAGCAAAATGATTTTATCTTGGTTATTTTAGTAAAAAATTAGTACCAAAGTGCTGTGGAACATGTGAACATGTAAAATATTTTTGTTCCTATTTGCTCATTCTCCTTCTGTGTTTTTAATTTTCTGATTTTTCTCCAGCCCTCTCAATATCTCCTTTTATGCTTTCTTCATGAAACTTAAAGTGATTGTCCTTATTTCAGAATATCATATTTGATTCCAAATATTCTTCATTACACAGAAAACTCTTTATACATATATAATATATATATTAATTAATTAATTAATATATATATATATATTAAGGTAGTCCTTTAAGGGGCGCCTTAATGCTTTCTTTATAGAAGCTTTGTAGTTACAAAGAATGACCACCATAAAATGAGAGTTCCTTTCTGAATCTATTTTTGGAAGAATGTTAAAGTATTTTGTTCAAGCACAGCCCGGTGGAAGAACTGGTACATAGCAGTTTTGTTAGATCTGGGTTAGCCCTTTAGAAAAACTATTCCAGATGAAATACATGGTCTGAAGACATCTGTATTTGAGGATTCCCACTTCGCATTAGTCATTAACCATTAGCCATTCTATAAAGATCCTGATTTATTTTGTGTTCAGCTTATTGGTTGTATATACTTGGTGTCAACAAAACGAAATAAATAATAAGCACACTCTTGGCTTATATCAGGTAAAATCAGAAAGTTTGCCTTGTCCATCCATCCATCTCTTTCACTTCAGATGCCATTTAACATTACATAATTTAACATGAAATCATAAAAATGTAGAAAAAAATAATTTTCTATTTTGTATAAATATTTTTGAGACCAGGGAGTAATAATCTCCAATTTCATGTTTGCATGACAAAATTTTCAGTTACTTCTGCCTCTTAAAAATTGAAAGGTAGCCTCATGTGACATTAAAGATAAGTTTCAACCATTTAATTTGATATGAAGAAGTAAAAGCTTTTCTGATAATTAAAATTGTTTAAACATCAAATTATAGACAAAAGTCAAGTGGTCAGCTACTTAATTCTAAATATTTGCTTATAAAATTAAACCAAACTCATGATTTTGCTGTTATATTCCTAATGATTCTTTTCTATAAGAAGTTTATAGATCATATTAAACAAACTCAAATATGTGGGTTATATACAATAATATATTTAAAATAATAAATATTAAACTCAAATATGTAGATTATATACTAGATATACTTAGAATAATAAATGAGGTTATATTATTTACATTATAGTATTTATAAAACCTTCCTGTAAGAAATCCATATTTTATCATTTATACTAATCAATGTTAGATTTCTTCAACAAATAGCAAAGTAAACAGTAAAAACAAATAAAGATCTTTCTGGTAAATCTGTAAATGACTTTATACTGCCACAGCTTTTATTGAGTCATAGAAATCACTATGGAACCAAGAGTATTTTGATTCATTTTCCAAGTCAGTATTTGTGATATTTACTTTTACTGTAATTTTTAACTTAGTGTTTAATATGTGCAAGTCCCTAAAGTTAGTTTCATATTTGTTGTTGTTGCTTTAGCAAGCCCTCAGTAGTTCTTGCAAATTAACATTGAATCAAAAAGTAAATTTAAAGAAATGACTCCAGAA